GGCAAACAGCAGATAGTATGACATACCCGTGATAAGGCAAACAGCAGATAGTATAACACACCCGTGATAAGGCAAACAACAGATAGTATGACACACCCGTGATATGACAAACAACAGATAGTATGACATACCCGTGATAAGGCAAACAGCAGATAGTATGACACACCCGTGATAAGGCAAACAGCAGATAGTATGACACACCCGTGATAAGGCAAACAGCAGACAGTGTAACACACCCGTGATAAGGCAAACAACAGATAGTATGACATGCCAACTAACTTGCTGCCTCGCGCTACTGACTACTAATAAACTACCAACAACGACTGACTGACAAATGAGTAACTGGCTTCCTACTTGGTACTGACATTAACTGACTAGCTACCGAATAGCTACTGACAGGATACAGACTAGCCTCTTATAGAACATATAGGTACCCAGAAACCTTTGCTTGTGATAGGCTAGTAATAGGCTACAAACTTCAGACTGTCTGTGTACTGGCTATTACAAACTACTGCCCGTCCACTGATTTAGTACTGACTGGTCACTGACAATTTACCTACAAGCGACTGACCGCCTACTGACGTTGCTACGACTTCTAGTAGCCAGATGATTCGTCTCCATCTTGGACAAGGGGTCAGTATCAACGTGGTGAAAGACAGCTGCACATGTGCACCAGTTGCAGCGATGGGATCTGTCTGAGTAAGCAGTTGAGGGTGTGATTCACAGCACGGAATCCTGCAGCAGCACAGTTCTCTGAGACCCAGTCATAACATTATTATCTCTCACCAACAACATCTTTGATAACACACCCACGGATTAGGGTTGGCAAGGCGAGGTGGCGCATATATTCACTATATATAGGGCTAGGTGCCTCCTCGGGAGACAAGTGTCTACAGTGTAGGTGGGAGATGCATTCAGCTTCGGCCAGTTACATCACCGCAATAAACACCGGCAACGTTCAACACTTCCGGGTTGGGGAAAACATACAAATACAGACACTTGGAATAACAGAAATACTTTTATTACTTGGAGTTGTTTGGAGGTTGCTTGAAAAATACACAGGGATTGCTAAGCTTTGTTTATTATCTGCAACATACTTTACTTGAAACAGATATTTGTTCATCCAGGATCATTAGCATCCAGCTGAATGTAAGCATGACAGATCCATCTTCAGTGTGTATTGTTTGATAATATTGTTGTAATGTACAAGGATGATTGTCTTACCCCTGGTAGTCCCATCTGTCGGTGTGGTTGATAGTGGGCCAGCCGATTACCTCCTGCTGATGGATACATCTAAGATGAGGGAAATATACCAGGCAAACATTTACATGGGAACTGGTGATGACAATAACAAGAAAATAAACTTGGATGGCGGAACAAAATACTCGCTGTGTCGGGCTGTAGGTCTCCAGGTGGTCAGGTAGAACATGGCCGCTCACAACTGATGGTTGGGTCGGGGAAGTCACGCTCTGTACCATACCAGGATGACGGCGTGTGTTCAGATAGGACATTACATGTGGAAACAGAGAGCCTGGGCGTGTGGCAATAACGCATGGGTGGGCTGTATGGCTGCATGGTCATTGGAACTGTAGCAGGTTCGAGGTGTAGGCAATCCAAGTCGTGGCTTCAAGCCTGTTGTAGCGTCATTTAGACCTAAAGTATCTGGTTCAAGGTGTAGGCAATCCAAGTTTTGGCTCCAAGCCTGTTGTAGCGTCATTTAGACCTAAAGTATCTGGTTCAAAGTGTAACCAATCCAGGTTTTTGGTTCGAGCCTGTTGTAGCGTCATTTAGTCGTAATGTATCTGGTTCGAGGTGTAGCCAATCCAAGTCTTGGCTTCGAGCCTGTTGTAGCGTCATTTAGACCTAAAGTATCTGGTTCGAGGTATCACAACGCAAGTTTCGGCTTTGAGCCTGTTGTAGCGTCATTTAGACCTAAAGTATCTGGTTCAAGGTGTAACCAATCCAGGTTTTTGGTTCGAGCCTGTTGTAGCGTCATTTAGTCGTAATGTATCTGGTTCGAGGTGTAGCCAATCCAAGTCTTGGCTTCGAGCCTGTTGTAGCGTCATTTAGACCTAAAGTATCTGGTTCGAGGTATCACAACGCAAGTTTCGGCTTTGAGCCTGTTGTAGCGTCATTTAGACCTAAAGTATCTGGTTCGAGGTATCACAACGCAAGTTTCGGCTTTGAGCCTGTTGTAGCGTCATTTAGACCTAAAGTATCTGGTTCGAGGTGTAGCCAATCCAAGTCTATGGTTCGAGCCTGTTGTAGCGTCATTTAGACCTAAAGTATCTGGTTCGAGGTGTAGCCAATCCAAGTCTTAGGTTCGAGCCTGTTGTAGCGTCATTTAGACCTAAAGTATCTGGTTCGAGGTGTAGGCAATCCAAGTCTTGGCTTTGGGCCTGTTGTGGTGTCATTTAAACCTAAAGTATCTGGTGCGTGGTGTAGCATAACGTAAGTCTTGGCTTAGAGCCTGTTGTAGAGTCATTTAGACCTAAAGTATCTGGTTCGAGGTGTAGGCAATCCAAGTCTTGGCTTTGGGCCTGTTGTAGAGTCATTTAGACCTAAAGTATCTGGTTCGAGGTGTAGCCAATCCAGGTCTTTGCTTTGAGCCCGTTGTAGCATCATTTAGACCTAAAGTATCTGATTCGAGGTGTAGCCAATCCAGGTCTTTACTTTGAGCCCGTTGTAGCGTCATTTAGACCTAAAGTATCTGGTTCGAGGTGTAGCCAATCCAGGTCTTTACTTTGAGCCTGTTGTAGCGTCATTTAGACCTTAAGTATCTGGTTCGAGGTGTAGCACAACACAATTCGTGGCTTTGAGCCTGTTGTAGCGTCATTTAGACCTAAAGTATCTGGTTCGAGGTGTAGCCAATCCAAGTCTTGGGTTCGAGCCCGTTTTAGCGTCAATTAGACCTAAAGTGGCTGGTTCAAGGTGTAGCATTACGCAAGTCTTGGCTTAGAGCCTGTTGTAGCGTCATTTAGACCTAAAGTGTCTGGTTCGAGGTGTAGCCAATCCAAGTCTTGACTTTGAGACTGTTGTAGAGTCATTTAGTCATGGGTTCAATGTGAACCTTACTGAACGTGTTCATGGCGTGTTCTTACAATGAGATTGTGAGGTAATCTTGTTATGAGACAGTGAGTAGGTTCGAGGTGTAACAGCCAGTGTTTGTGTCTATTGTAACACCATCTGCTTCTAATTCAGCAGGTTGCAGGTAACTTTTGTGGTTTGTCAGTTGCCCAATTCCAGAGGTTGGACCTGGTTCCAACCAACTGATGAAAACACAGCGGCCTTGGAGGCTGTCAGCCAATAGTGCCACGATGTGCGGTCTGAACTGTCAGACAGACACTGACTTTATCGTTCACTGTTATCTGAACACCCGCATTGTTAACTCAAGGCTATGTCGCCCTGTAGATCCGACTGCTGATGGTGATACCGCTGTTCGTGATCTGAATCTGAAGGGATGACATAATCACCTGTCTCATCTTGACATTAAAATGAAGCTGACTAGAGAGCTAGTTGTGGTAAATTTGTCATAATTCATTGATCGTGTTTGGGGGTAACGCTGCCAAGATCACTCTTAAATCAGTGTAAGATACTTGGCATTACCGCCTGCCACACGTTAGCCAGAGCAAATGTCGAGATAATAAAGGTCTTTACTGCCACAAGTTGTACAAAGCGTATCTTTTTCTGAGACGTGTTTGTTGTGACACTAATTTTTACATGTAAAACATATCATGACACTGGGTGTTATAAAGGGTAGGGCAGCCCAGGGTGTCAGCGGTACACGGACCCTTAACTGACAGTCGGGTGCTGCACTCTAGCCACAAGGGGATCACTAGTTTAAGACGTCCTATCAGTATTCCGGCCATATGACGACCGCTTTTCAAATAGTCGTCTCCTCACGTTTGAAAACACAAGGGAATCACATCAGTGTTTTTCGCGTTACATACGACCGTATACGACCAGATCGAGAATCATCAGGCTACCCACCGTCCCCACCAGTGGGTACATATCGAGACCCACCATGCTTCCAATAGGAACATATCGAGACCCACCATGCTACCAATAGGAACATAGCGAGACCCACCATGCTTCCAATAGGAACATATTGAGACCAACCATGCCACCAATAGGAACATATCGAGACCCACCATGCTACCAATAGGAACATATTGAGACCCACCATGCTACCAATAGGAACATATTGAGACCCACCATCCTACCAATAGGAACATATCGAGACCCACCATGCTACCAATAGGAACATATTGAGACCCACCATGCTACCAATAGTAACATATTGAGACCCACCATGCTACCAATAGGAACATATCGAGACCCACCATGCCACCAATAGGAACATATCGAGACCCACCATGCTACCAATAGTAACATATTGAGACCCACCATGCTACCAATAGTAACATATCGAGACCCATCCTGCTACCAATAGGAACATATTGAGACCCACCATGCTACCAATAGGAACATATTGAGACCCACCATGCTACCAATAGTAACATATCGAGACCCACCCTGCTACCAATAGTAACATATCGAGACCCATCCTGCTACCAATAGGAACACATTGAGACCCACCATGCTACCAATAGTAACATATCGAGACCCACCATGCTACCAATAGGAACACATTGAGACCCACCATGCTACCAATAGTAACATATCGAGACCCACCCTGCTACCAATAGTAACATATCGAGACCCACCCTGCTACCAATAGTAACATATCGAGACTCAGCACATCAGTGATACTATTGCCATTGTTGGACATATCTCACATGTATGTGGTGTCGTGGTGTCGGTGTCGTGGTGTCATTACCTTCCTAATCCGATGCGCCATGGTAAACTCTATATGTAAATTAGATATACACAGTTCCCATCATACATCATATCTCATCATGCTTATCTCACACTGCATGTCGCCATGTGTTCCGTGTATAGTGAACGTGCTTGTACAACTGTGTTTTGTCTTGTTCCAGGAGACATGTGGCCACTGATGACTACATTCCCGACAGGAGTGTTCTTTATCTTAAGCAGTGTATCTAGCCGTAAGTACGACATCTTCCTTACACACCTATCAACATGCATCCCTTTCATCCCTGGTAGGGTTCCAGTTCCCAATGTGTGTACGCAGCTTTGGATGGGAGGCGAACCTGCGCCAGCTTCACGAAGCAACATCACCATCAACCATTCACTGATGACAGCTGTAGTACGTTGGTCACTTCGCAGACAAAGACTAAACATATTCTATATGAAAAGAAACCAAAGTTATGGTTTTCGTTTTAGAAAACTAAATCTGTCTGTTGACTGTATTTTGAAACTGTGTGATACTTTAGTTACTCCTGTTCTGTTTTATGGTTGCGAAGTATGGGGTTTTGAAAACTTATCTCGTGTTGAAAATATACATTTGCGAGTTCTTAAATAGGTATGTTCATTTTGGAAAAGTACTTCTCATTTTTTGATGCATTGAGATCTTGGTAGATACTCACTTGCCAACCTAGTTAAAAGCAGAATTATATGTTTTTGGTGCAATCTCTTAACTCGAAAAGCCTCCAAATTATCTGTTTAAGTGTACAAGCTTATTTATAATGACACTATTTGGGGAAAATGTTATCACAAATGGATAACTTGCATTAAAGGCATTTTGACCAAGTAGGATTGAATAATACGGACATCACAGAATTTTCAAACTATATATCTGTTAAAAATGTTTGTCATTTCTAAATTGAAATATGTCTATAATCAAACATGGATAACAAACATAGAACATTCTTTAACAGGGGTAAAATATGATATTGTGAAATCTCGAGATTTATGATGCGAGCAGTACTTTGTTATTTACAAGAATCCAACTGGAGAATCTTATTAAAATTCAGGACGTCAAATCACAATCTGCCGGTTGAGACCTTAAGATTGACAAATATCCCCATAATTAATCAGAAATTTAGCCTATGCAATCTCGATGATGTCGGATTTGAATTTTTGTTTGTCAAGCATTTGAAATGTTTTGTTCATAAATAATTTTATGTTAAACCAAAATTATACAAACTGAGTTATCTCTTTCATAGCTCATAATTCGGAACCCCAATAACATTGTCTTAATTTTGCAATAAAATCAGAGCTACATTTAGAAAATGAATTGTATGTTAGGAAAGCACTGTATTACCTCATCCTTGCGAGGCAATGGCTTTAACTGACTATTAAAGTCCAGCAAATGCAGTGATATGAGTGATGGAATTTGATTGGTCAACAGGAGGGACATAGAAGCGACATAACTCGTAATAGATATTGGTGACGATACGATCGAGCCTCGAAATTCCAGCCTAGTTCGGCAAGGCTGGGAACAGGACTATTATAGTTAGTTAACTCCCTTGCCTCGGGAAGATGATTGTACCTCTTTTGACACAGGTTGTGTAGTCCAGTTCAGGGCAGTTCAGTTCAGTAGAACGGGGCGCGGGAACTCATTGACTTGTTCGTGCACTAGTTGTGGGTTGAGAACAATATGGAAGGTTTAGCCGTCAAATACTACTCAAAAGAAGTTCAGGAACACACGATTCTTTCATATTACTACAGTTGTCCTGCCAAAGAATCAGGTGTTCCTTGACTTCTTTTCAATAGTACGAATTTCCAGCACATCCATGAAGACTGTCAGTGTTGAATCTGCACCTCCATAAGTGAAGCGGTGCAGTGTGTAGCGAGGTGCCTTAGCCCTGAAGTAAGGCGTCATTGTTTAAACGTGTGAGTGTGTTGACGACACAGATTCTGAGTTCCCAATGTAATTTCCACAGTCTATCATACGAATTTTTTGTGAAGCTCAATATTGGCCCAGAAAGGGAATGACATCCGAGAAGGGTCGTACGACCCAACTCACTCACTCACTCAATATCACCGCTGTCTTCTCGCCGTCCTCATCACCGCTTCTCATCAATTTAGCCACGTTGCCACAATTCTGTTTAAGGCAAACAAATTATATTGACTATTTGGATTATTTTGTTTAAAATGAAGAACTGGCGATAATACGAATAGGGTTCTTTTATTAGTTCTCCAGGTGTCATATATGTTTGTTTGTTTCTTGTCCTAACAATACGTTACCAGTGCATAGCTATTTAGATATTACTGACTTTTTCAAGTTTCATCGTAGCAAGACCTATGTTTTGGATGAAAATGGATTTTTCAACATCATACGATTTAAATGAAAAAACAACAAACGAAAAAGCTGTAATTCTGATGAAAACCTATTTAATGTCATGTGGCCTTGGCTGATGTGAAGGATTTTGGAGGTATCAGTGGCTGGGTACATTTCTATCATACTATCACAGAGACACAGACTCTGGGTTACTGAGGGCAGAGTTGGGACTGTGTGTACAAGTTGGGGACCACACGCATGCTTCAATTTGTTATTATATAAACGTTCTATTTCATGTAAGAAATGACATATTCACATAGCCATGTACCAGTACAGTCCCCATGGAATGGGATCCATATTGGTGTCAGAGCCAGTCCGCTCACAGATATGAGGTTTAGTTGAATCAGCAAAACTCTCTGATGAACAACTGCACTGTGTGTGCATATGCACATGAACGCTGACACGTTTGTGTATATTTTCTAATCCTTGATATAAAACACGATCAAAGGCGGGTATTTATTCTTCATAAACACCAAGGGTGTTAAAAGTAAATCACTTCGTTTCACACCAGCCTTTATAAAAATACGGGTTTGGGGGCAAAAAATAAACTATGTCAATAGCCTCCGTTATCTGACTTGAAAACCCATAAACTATACCATGTAATACTTTTGAAAAAGTGGCTGTAATATATTGTTTCTTGAATTTACAGAAGGATTGGAAATAAGACAAAAAGCAGTAGGTTGTTTAAACTGTACATATTGCCTATACACGGCTGAAGACGTCGCCCATAGTATCACGTGTGTTCCCCTGACGTGGGCATATTGAAGCATCAGATGCTTTCTGTTAAGGTTTTGTCATAGAAACACCACTGCCCTGACTGCAATGACTCAGTAATAGTCTTACTAGCTGTCAATCATGCCGTGCCTAAGTATATGCGCCTTAAAAAACTCTTTGTTGGGATAGTTAAACTAGAAAGCTGACTTTGGATTGAATGAAAGAATGCTGAACTGCTTTCAGTTTCTTTTGACTACCTATACTATGACATGGAAATAGCTCCCCGCCCCAACCCCAACCCCCAACCCCACCCCAACCCCAACCCCACCCCAACCCCAACCCCAACCCCAACCCCAACCCCAACCCCGAACTCCCCGAACTCCCTCCTAATGGCGGCCTCGTATGTCGAGCAAATGTCATCTCCATGTGCCAGCGAAAAGTGGCGTACCGCTATGTTCTTGGGTGGAGGTCATGTGACGTAACACGACTATTGATAGCACTGATGAGGTTAATTACAGCTTTAATTGAGGCTGAAAAAGCATCTGTATTATTAACGCCTTGGTTTAAAACAACTCAAAGGTGCACTACAATCTCTTGTGCAAAGTGATCGAGGGTTCTTAATAAAAGACATGAGACGTGTAAGCAATAGCTCTCAGTTTTTAATGGTTCTTTACATTGTTGTTAATACCCGGTACACTCTCATACTTAGACCACAATACCCAGTACACTGTTATACTTAGGCCACAATACCCAGTACACTGTCATACTTAGGCCACAATACCCGGTACACTGTCATACTAAGGCCACAATACCCGGTACACTGTCATACTTAGGCCACAATACCCGGTAAACTGTTAAACTTAGGCCACAATACCCAGTACACTGTCATACTTAGGCCACAATACCCGGTACACTGGCATACTAAGGCCACAATACCCAATACACTGTCATACTTAGGCCACAATACCCAGTACACTGTCATACTGAGGCTACAATACCCAGTACACTGTCATACTTAGGCCACAATACCCAGTACACTGTCATACTAAGGCCACAATACCCGGTACACTGTCATTCTTAGGCCACAATACCCGGTAAACTGTTAAACTTAGGCCACAATACCCAGTACACTGTCATACTTAGGCCACAATACCCGGTACACTGGCATACTAAGGCCACAATACCCAATACACTGTCATACTTAGGCCACAATACCCAGTACACTGTCATACTTAGGCCACAATACCCGGTACACTGTCATACTAAGGCCACAATACCCGGTACACTGTCATTCTTAGGCCACAATACCTAGTACACTGTCATACTTTGGCCACAATACCCGGTACACTGTCATGCTAAGGCCACAATGCCTAGTACACTGTCATACTTAGGCCACAATACCCGGTACACTGTCACCCTACACCCTTGGCCAGGTATGACACTGAAACTGTGCAGGCTCCACATGTCAGTTTACAGAGCGACACGTGATACACCAGTTTGGGAGTTGCCCTTCAGTCTTTAATACACAGGCACCTCGCCAACACATCTACCAGGGACCTACACATTTACCAGGGACCTAGCTAACACATCTACCAGGGGCCTAGCCTACACATCTCCCAGGGACCTAACCTACACATCTACCAGGGGCCTAGCCTACACATCTCCCAGGGACCTACACATTTACCAGGGACCTAGCTAACACATCTACCAGGGACCTAACCTACACATCTCCCAGGGACCTACACATTTACCAGGGACCTAGCTTACACATCTACCAGGGACCTACACATCTCCCAGGGACCTACACATTTACCAGGGACCTAGCTAACACATCTACCAGGGACCTAACCTACACATCTACCAGGGGCCTAGCCTACACATCTCCCAGGGACCTACACATCTACCAGGGGCCTAGCCTACACATCTCCCAGGGACCTACACATTTACCAGGGGCCTAGCCAACACCTACCAGGGACCTAGCTTACACATCTACCAGGGACCTAACCTACACATTTACCAGGGACCTAGCCTACAAATCTCCCAGGGACCTACACATTTACCAGGGGCCTAGCCTACACATCTCCCAGGGACCTACACATTTACCAGGGGCCTAGCCAACACCTACCAGGGACCTAGCTTACACATCTA